GTCATCATTGTTTTGAAAAGCTGTTTCCAAAATGTTTTGTGTCCACACCTAAACGCAAAGCCGGCATTTTCAAATGCCTCTAATTTGAAGAGCGTTTTCCAGAAAGTTCCATGTTCATGACAGATTAGTGTAGACAGTAGGCTTGACCGCAGAAATAAAACTGCATTCTTAAATTTCTCTTGTGTAGTGTGGACAGGGTCTTAATTTGTAATTATTTTGTTAGATTCCTGATGAACCAAACAAGATCAACGAAAGTGATCGAGAAAAAAGTAAGTTTCAGACACTACTACTGAACAAATAGCGTAGCGTTGAAAGTATTTTACCAGATCGATTTATCATAATGTTAACAGGATAGTTTCCAAGAAATGCAAGGTTGTGAATGATAAACAAATCAAGTGATGAACATAAGTCACTTGGATATATATCAAATTTTGCAATAACAATTATTAAACAATGTTGTATACATGTACATGTAATAATGGTTTACTTTTTTTACTTGAATAGTTAAAGGCAAGATTGTTGATCTGATGCTTAAAAGTCCAGAAAAGTTACAGAAGCAGGTATTTAGGAGTGTTAAATTTGCCTTTAGTTAATTATTTTAAGTATTGAGGAAATTATTTAATTCTCTCAGCCCTGAAGTTCAAAATACCTTTAGAACTGTTGTGTTAGCCTCTAAACAAGTCATTTTTTGTTACAAGCATTAATTTCTTCCTCTTACTGTGCTTGTGTGTGCTTTTTCACCTTTTTCACTTCGCTTTTGCGCATTTGCACATTCAGCTTTACCAATTTATTCTTATCCTTAATAGTGATCATTTTTACTATGTATCTACATGTACTATTTAGATAAATTGTCCTGCCAATGACAGTATTTCAATTTCTTTAGTCTTAAATATGTCAAAGGGTAGTCCTTTACATAAGCCTTACTGCGCAGGTCTCATTGGGCTTCCTCACCTCATAGATTTGATATTTTATGTGAAAAAAAACTGAAACTGAAATTGAAACTGAAATTTATTCAGTCATGATGGCATAGAGAACTGATTGATTCTCATTTATCTTCATGTTATGATAAGGTAATAGCCTGTGTGCAGGCCGATCATGTTGGAGTACAAGTGCACGTGGCATAGCTACAATCGCTGAATTAGGCAGTGACCCTTTGAGATGTTTCTTGGCACCTCTTCAACAGACTCCACCCTGCTGGATTGCATATATGAGGTTCTAATGTATTATTTTTTTTTCAGCTTAGTGACGCTGTCAGCATGATTGGTCGAGAAGACTTTCCTGATAAGTGGAAAAACTTGTTACCAGTAAGTGCACTGAAATACAAATCAAATGTATTTCTAAGGAGGGTTTTAAAGATGAAGAGCCAAATGGTTGAAGAGACAGGCTGTAAATCAAGACACTACTTATTTAGTATTTTCTCAAATCATGAAATTAAAGTAATGTTTGAATGTTTGGTACAAATTTCTTTCTGACAGGAACTTGTGACAAAGTTTGAAAGTGGAGATTTTCACATAATCAATGGAGTTTTACAAACAGCCCAATCATTATTTAAAAGGTTTGTATCGTGTGTGTTATCATTATTTAACGTGATCATGGCAAAGTCAGAAGTAAAATGTTTGACATGAAGATATGATTGATCATTGCAGTTATACACACAACTTAGGCAGTTGTGAAATTAAAGCCTGAAAAAAAAAATTCAGGCCTACGATGATCAATTATATCTTCATATCTTTCTCTGCAGTTCAATTATATGGTCTTTTACATATTTACTTGTATTCTTCACCATTGATTACAAACTCAGATGGCTTGATAGCTCAGTTGGTAGAGCACTGTATCGGTATTGCAGAGGTCATGGGATTGAACCCTGTTCAGGCCTGAATTTTTTTCCACGCTTTAATTTCACAACTGCTTAACTTGTGTGTATAACTGTGTATAACTGCGACGATCAATCATATCTTCATATCTTTCGCTGCAGTTCAAATATATGGTCTTTTGTATATTTACTTGTAAAATGTTTGAATGAATAATCCTGATGGCAACATTCATGTGGAAATACCAACATCTTAATTGATGAGTTAAAGTGCAATGCTATAAATGACAGAAGTTTTCTTTGACTGTTCATGTTTCTCTTCAATGCATCTTCTATTTTTGTAGATATCGTCATGAATTCAAGTCTCAGGAACTGTGGACTGAGATAAAGTTTGTGTTGGAGAGGTTTGCAGAGCCACTCACGAATCTGTTTGAGGTAAGTAGATATAAGGGGACTTAAGATTTGAGTACGAGTACAAGATTGAATACGAGAACAACTTTTCAATTCTAGTTTGCAGGCTTTGCATTATCACGTCACATACCCATCTCATCCCATGAGCTGCCCTCTCCACCTAAAACCAGCATGAAGAGCGAGGGCTCTGGAAACATCACTGGTTGGAAATTTGAAAATCGTACTCATACTGAATCTTGTACTTGCAGTCCAATCTAAAGGTCCCTTATGTCTGACATGGTTCAATTTTCTCTTTATTCCCCGGGTGGGTTCTCCCAGAAAACATGGGTGAGGTTGTGCAGCCTGCTTACCCTATTTATGACCAAAATCTGCGATTTTCCCTGCCCTATTTATGACCTGACCCTTGAATCAATATATGTACCCTGTTTCAGACCCATCATACAATTAGTTTCCTAGTTCAGACCCATGTTAAAGGCATTGTGATGGGCTTTTGTTTATGGTCTAATCAATAATGATGAAAAAGTAGCTTCTTTTTAGAAACATACCCAATTCAAGACAAGTGCAAAAACCATGTACCCTATA